TTGTACCCAATGACATCTCTGTACTCCCTTAAAACAAGTAGGAGTTTCTCAAGAGAGATATCATCGAGCTTGGCATTGACAATAACGGGATAACTCTCACTATCATCAAGAAAAGCATATTTAAGTAGAGGGGGAAGAGGGTTAAGTTCAACCTTATAATGAGGCGTGGTCATCTCCTCTTTTACCTCCACATTAAGCACTTCCACTTCCATTTCATTGTGGACTAAAGGTTGGTTGAGCAAAAGATCATACCCCCTTGTTTCTTCACCTTCCTCAACTAAGCCTCCCGTTAGGATAGCTTGTAAAGGATATCCTTCAATCAAATTCTCTTGGAACTCCTCTAAGTCCCTTTCTAATGTGTCGACTCTATAAACTTCATCAAACAATGACTTTTTCAACGTTTGTGAGAATGAAAATGAAATTTTCTCATCTCCCACATTCAATGTTAACCTTCCTTCTTTCATATAAATTAAAACACCCGCGGTGTTCAAAAATGGTCTCCCCAAAATGAGGGGTACCCTTGTTTCTTCTTCCATTTCCATCACCATGAAATCACAAGGTACAAATACTCTCCCAACTTGAATCAGTTGATCTTCAAGAATTTCCAAAGGTAGCCTAACCGTGCGGTCGGCTAATTGTAAGGACATTCTCGTTGGCTTCAAGTCTCCAACTTTCAAACTCTTTTCAATAGAATAGGGCATCAAGCTCACACTTTCCCCAAGATCACACAAAGCATCCATAGCTTCCAAATCTCCAATCTTCACCGGTATTGCATAACTACCGGGGTCACCAAGCCTTTGAGGAAGCTTGTTTTAAATGATAGCACTCACCTCCTTAGGAAGGGAGATGGTTGCACTTTCCTCAAGCCTACTCTTGTTGGATAGAATATCCTTCAAAAAAATTTCATAGGTAGGTATTTGTGACTTAGCATGAAGAAAGGGGATATTCACTAGAAGTCCTCTCATGACTTCAAGAAAATTTGAAAACTTCTCATTCAACTTCTTCTCTACAATCCTATGAGGAAATAGAATAGGAGGCTTGTATACTTTCATGGGGGCTTTTCTATTATTTCCTTATCTCCCTCATTCTTTTTTGTGACTCCTTTTTCTCAACATCAAATATTTCATTTTCAAACTCATCCTCACTTCTCACCACAACTCCCTCATTTTTCTTTTGTGGCTCCTCTTCACTCATAACCGACCCTTCATAACCTCTCCCCAATCTCAAAATAATGGCTTTGGCTTACTCCTTTGGGTTCACAACCGTTGAGCTTGGGAAGTGACCACTAGGATTAGAGGATTAACTTCCAACTTGTTGCGCAATTTGAGCCAATTGATTCTCAATTATCTCGTTGTGCACTTGGAGTTGTTGGATGTTTGTCGTCATATCCGCATTATTTCTTACTTGTTGTGTCATGAAAGTCTCAAGCACGGATTCAAGTCTAGTCTTTTGAGGAGGTGGAGGAGGAGGAGTGGGTTGGTTATATTGTTGTCTTTGTTGGTTTTAGTCCCTTTAATTAGGGTGACGATATGGAGCTTGTTGATTTTTTTGATGGGGTTGGTTGTATTGGTTTTGAGGGGGGCCTTGGTTTTGTTGCTTCCACCCCGTGTTTTGTTGAGGTTTCCAACTTTGACTGTAGGTTTGGGAGTATTGAGCATTTCTTTACCCAATGGCAGCTTCTTATTCTTGGTTAGTTGAGTTGCAATAGGAGGATAAGTGATCATTTCTTCCACAAGTCTTACAAGATATGACTTGTTAAAATGAGCTTGGAGATGTAAGGGTGGCTTGATCTAGCTTGTGAGATAGCATATCATACTTTGATTCAATAAGGTCTATTGCACTAAGACGTGGATTCCACCCTTCTTTGCTTGAGGTTGCCTTCTATCACCTCCATATTCGTAGTGCTTTGCCACTTCTTCAATCATCTTGTATGCATCATCCATCGATAGCTTTTTAAGGCTTAAGGCTACCACCGGCTCCGCAATCAAGGTTGGCCCTTGAAATAGGAGTAAGACCATCATAGAATCTTTGAACGATGATCCGTGATGTGAAACCATGGTGTGGTCATTTCCTAGTGTAACCCTTGAAACGCTCCTAAGCTTCACTTAACGTTTCATCAATCTCTTAGTTGAAATTGGTTATTTTTCTTCTTAGTTCGGCGGTCTTTTCAGGGGGACAATACTTTCCAAGAAAAGCTCTAGTGACTTCATCCCAAGTGGTCAATGATCCCTCTTCTACCATTCTCAACCAATGCTTTGCTTTGTCACGGAGGGAGAATTGAAACATTGGCATACAAATGAACTCTTCCGTAATGTTGTTTTGCTTGATGGTTGTGCACAACTTGAGAAAGTTGTCCAAATGAGCAAAAGGACACTCATGAGAACTACCACCTAATTGATCACTTTGGATCATACGGATGAGTTGAGGTGAAAGCTCAAAATTATTTGCATTGGTAGTGGGGAGACGTATGCACTCCGTAGTTAAAATGCGTTGGGTTGGTCATAATCTCAAAGCAATAGTTGAGGAGGAGGAAGATCATTATCACCCACGTTGCCTTATTTATTGTTCCTAAGAACCTCTTCCGAGGCGGAATCCGAATTGACAATGGAGAATTTCGGAGTACCTTGTAAGAGTCTCCTTACGTTTCCTTAAGGTCTTGTTCAACTCTAAATCCACGGGAATAAGCCGTGATTGCTTACTATTTCATGTCATGCAAAGTCAAACAAAGCTAAGAAAACGTTAGCAATGACTACCACAAGTTAAAAACGCAATAAAAAAATGAATAAGAAAAAATATGATACAAATATACACACTTAGACTCATTCAACAATAATACATTTAATGTGACTTTGCCTCCCCGGCAACGACGCCAAAATTTGATAGGCCGTCGTCGAGCCTACCAAAGATAAAAGTCCTATCTTGGTCTCACTAGCTCTTAGCAAGGGTAAGAAAGGATCGAACCCAATGAAGGCGTTGAATCAACCACCGAGATACTACCGTTTAAATAAGCTAATTGAAGACACAAAACCAACTCAATATTGTCTTCAATTAGCTTATTTAAACGGTAGTATCTCGGTGGTTGATTCAACGCCTCCCTTGGATTCGATCCTTTCTTACTCTCGCTACTAGCTAGTGATACCAATATAGGACTTTTATCTTGTGTAGGCTCAACGACGACCTATAAATTTTGGCGCTGTTGTCGGGGAGGCAAAGTCACATTGAATGTATTATTGTTGAATGAGTCTAAGTGTATATTTGTATCATAATTTTTCTTATTTATTTTTGCTTAATTTCGTTTTTAACTTGTGATAGTCATTGCTAACGTTTTCTTAGCTTTGTTTGACTTTGCATGACACGAAAGAGTAAGAAATCACGGCTTATTCCAGTGGATTTAGAGTTTAAAAAGACCTCAAGGAACGTAAGGAGACTCTTGCAAGGTACTCTAGAATTCTCCATTGTCTATTCGGATTTCGGCTCGGAAGAGTTTCTTGGGAAAAACGAAGAAGACAACATGGGTGATAATGATCTTCCTCTTCCTCAACTGTTGCTTTGAGATTATGAACACCCAAACGCATTCCAACTACGGAGTGACATACGTCTCCCCACTACGAATGCAAATAATTTTTGAGTTTTCACCTCAACTCATCCGTATGATCCAAAGTGATCAATTTGGTGGTAGTTCTCATGAGTGTCCTTTTGCTCATTTGGACAACTTTCTCAAGTTGTGAACAACCATAAAGCAAAATAACATTACGGAAGAGTTCATCCGTATGCACATGTTTCAGTTCTCCCTCCGTGACAAAGCAAATCATTGTTTGAGAACGGTAGAAGAGGGATCATTGACCACATGGGATGAAGTCACTAGAGCTTTCCTTGGAAAGTATTGTCCCCCCCCAATAGACCACCGAATTAAGAAGAAAAATCACCAATTTTAACCAAGAGTTTGATGAAACGTTAAGTGAAGCGTGGGAGCGTTTCAAGGATTACACTAGGAAATGCCCACACCATGGTTTCACATCATGGATCATCGTTCAAATCTTCTATGATAGTCTTACTCCTACTTTAAGGACCAACCTTGATTACAGAGCCAGTGGTAGCCTTAAAAAGCTATCGGTTGATTATGCATACGAGATGATTGAAGAAGTGGCATAAAACTACGCATATGGAGGTGATAGAAGGCAACCTCAAGCAAAGATGGGCAGAATCCACGATCTTAGTGCAATAGACCTTATTGCATCAAAGTTTGATATGCTATCTCACAAGCTAGATCAAGCCACCCTTACATCTCCAAGATTTTCTTCACAAGTCATGTCTTGGGAGACTTGTGGAGGAAATGATCACTTGTCCTCCTATTACAACTCAACTAACCAAGAATAAGCGGCGGCCATTGGACAAAGAAATGACTCCCAACCATACAGTCAAAGTTGGAAACCCCAATAAAACACGGGGTGGAAGCAACAAAACCAAGGCCCCCCTCAAAACCAATACAACCAACCTCATCCAAAAAACCAACAAGCTCCATACCTTCACCCTAATCAAAGGGACCAAAACCAACAAAGACAACAATATAACCAACCCGCTCCTCCTCCTCCACCTCCTCAAAAGACTAGCCTTGAATCCGTTCTTGAGACTTTTATGACACAAAAAGTAAGAAACAATGCGGATATGTTGGCAAACATCCAACAAACCTAAGCGCACAACAATATAATTGAGAATCAATTGGCTCAAATTGGGCAACAAGTTGGAAGTTCATCCTCTAATCCTAGTGGTCACTTCCAAGGCTCAACGGTTGTGAACCCAAAGGAGCAAGCCAAAGCCATTATTTTGAGATTGGGGAGAGGTTATGAAGGGCCGGTTATGAGTGAAGAGGAGCCACAAAAGAGAGATGAGAGAGTTATGGTGAGAAGTGAGGATGAGTTTGAAAATGAAATATTTGATGTTGAGAGAAAGGAGTCACAAAAGAAAAATGAGGGAGATAAGGAAAGAATAGAAAAGCCCCCATGAAAGTATACAAGCCTTCCATTCCATTTACTAATAGGATTGTAGAGAAGAAGTTGAATGAGAAGTTTTCATATTTTCTTGAAGTCATGAGAGGACTTCTAGTGAATATCCCCTTTCTTCATGCTAAGTCACAAATGCCTACCTATGAAATTTTTTTGAAGGATCTTCTATCCAACAAGAGTATGCTTGAGGAAAGTGCAACCATCTCCCTTCCTAAGGAGGTGAGTGCTACCATTCGAAACAAGCTTCTTCAAAAGCTTAGTGACCCCGGTAGTTATGCAATACCGGTGAATATTGGAGATTTGGAAGCTATGGACGCTTTGTGTGATCTTGGGGAAATTGTGAGCTTGATGCCCTATCCTATTGAAAAGAGTTTGAAAGTTGGAGACTTGAAGCCAACAAGAATGTCCTTACAATTGGCCGACCGCACGGTTAGGCTACCTTTGGAAATTCTTGAAGATCAACTGATTCAAGTTGGGAGAGTATTTGTACTTGTGATTTCATGGTGATGGAAATGGAAGAAGACACAAGGGTACCCCTCATTTTGGGGAGACCATTTTTGAACACCGCGGGTGTTGTAATGTATATGAAAGAAGGAAGGTTAACATTGAATGTGGGATAAGTCCCACCATTTGCATGCATAAGATTTTACTTGATGATGATCATACTTCTTCGATTGAGAACTAAAGAAGGCTCAATCCAAACATGAAGGAAGTTGTGAAAAAAGAAGTTTTAAAATTTCTTGAAGCGAGCATAATCTACCCTATCTCTGATAGAAAGTGGGTTAGCCCGGTTCAAGTTGTGCCTAAAAAAGGAGACATGACCATCATCAATATTGATAAGGGTGAGACCATTTCTACAAGGTCAGTCACCGGGTGGAGGATGTGCATTGATTATAGAAAATTGAATAAATCCACCCGAAAAGATCATTTTCCACTCCCCTTTATTGATAAAATATTGGAAAGACTAGCATCACATAGTCATTATTGCTTCTTGGATGGATATTTAGGATTTTTCGAAATCCCAATCCAACCCGAGAACCAAGAAAAGACTACATTCATATGTCCTTTTGGCACCTTTGCTTATCGAAGGATGCCATTTGGACTTTGTAATGCACCTTCCACATTTCAAAGGTTTATGATGTCTGTTTTTTCGACATGCTTGAATCATCAATTGAAGTATTCATGGATGAATTTTCTTTTTTGGTTCATCTTTTGACATTTGCCTTTCGAATTTGATTAAAGTGTTGAAAAGATGTCAAGAGGTGAACTTAGTCTTGAATTGGGAAAAATGTCATTTCATGGTGGAAAAGGGCATTGTTCTTGGTCAGTTGGTCATGTGATTTCTAGTAGGGGCATTTAAGTAGATCGTGCCAAAATTGAGGTAATTGATGAGAGCCTCCCACCCCCTACAAATATGAAGAGGATAAGGAGCTTTCGTGGACACGCGGGTTTTTACATCCAGTTCATAAAGGATTTTTCAAAAATCGCAAAGCCACTCACTCAATTGTTGGTAAAGGATGCCTATTTTGTGTTTACTAATGATTTTTTTTCTAGAATTTGATAGGTTGAAGGAGGTATTGATTTCGGCTCTCATCATTCAACCCCCTAGATGGGAGCTTCCTTTTGAGCTCATGTGTGATGCTTCGGATTTTGCCATTGGTCCGTTCTTTGACAAAGAAAGGATAATAAACTCCATATCATCTACTAAACTAGCAAAACATTTGATGAAGTACAAAGGAATTACTCAACCACGGAAAAGGAGTTTTTGGCCATTGTTCATGAAATTGAGAAGTTTAGGTCCTACTTGTTGCGGTATAAAGTCATAGTCTTCACCGACCATTCGGCCTTGAAGTAACTCTTGTCCAAGAAGGAACCAAACGCCAAGATTGATGCGGTGGGTCTTGATCTTACAAGACTATGATATTGAGATTAAAGACAAGAAAGGTGCCGAAAATGTTGTGGCCGATCATCTTTCACAGTTGCCTATCTTTGTAGGTGATCTTAATAACTTTCCAATTGATGATTCATTTCCAGATGATCAACTATTTGCTATTCTTCAAGCAACGACACCATGGTTTGTGGACATTGCAAACTATCTATCTTGCTCTATTCTTCCTCCCGACCTCTCATATCAACAAAAAAGGAAGTTTCTACATGATGTTCGCTCGTCAATAATTTTGGGACGACCCCTTGCTCGTCAAACAAGGTGTTGATGGACTTTTTAGAAGATGTGTCCCGGATGATGAAATTGAAGATGTTATCACAATGTGCCATTCCTCACCTTGTGGAGGGCATATTAGTGCTAACAAAACTTTGGCGAAAATCTTACAATGTGGTTTTTATTGGCCTACAATGTTCAAAGATGTGTGGGGTGTAGTGAAAGCTTGTGACTAGTGTTAAAGAACCGGTAATATTTCAAGAAGAAGTGAGATGCCTTTGAACAACATTCTTTAGCTAGAGATTTTCGATGTATGGGACATTGATTTTATGGGGCCTTTCCCAAACTCTTTTGGGAATGAGTTCATTCTTGTGGTCGTTGATTATGTGTCAAAGTGGGTAGAAGCGGTTGCATCTCCTACTAATGATGCTAAAGTGGTGGTCAAGCTCTTCAAAAGAGTGATTTTCCCAAGGTTCGGGGTGTCACGTACCATTATTCGTGATGGAGGTTCACATTTTGCAAAGTGGTCCTTTCAAGCTCTCCTTGTGAGATATGGTGTGAAGCACAAGGTGTCTTTGGCTTACCACCCACAAACAAGTGGCCAAGCCGAAATTTCAAATCGGGAGGTAAAAATGATTCTTGAGAACACGGTGGATAAGTCTAGGAAAGATTTTGATCTACAAAACTTGATGATACTCTATGGGCCTACCGCACCGCATTCAAATCACCCATTGGCACCACACCATACAATCTTGTTTATGGGAAGTCATGCCATTTGCCGGTAGAACTTGAGCATCGTGCTCATTGAGCTATCAAAACATTGAATTTCGACCTTCAAAGTGCCGGTGAAAAGAGGTTGCTTGACATCCATGCCTTGGAAGAATTAAGGTTGGATGCATATGGGAGTGCACAGATCTACAAAGAAAAGACCAAGGCTTAGCATGACAAGTATATTAGAAAAAGGAAATTTAAAGAAGGTGACAAGGTCCTACTATTCAATTCCCGGTTGAAGTTGTTTCCGGGTAAGCTTAAGTCAAGATGGAGTGGACCTTTTTCCATTAAGAAGATGTTTCCATATGGTGCAATTGAAATATCAAATGATAATGGTGAACCGTTCAAAGTGAATGGCCAAAGGCTTAAGGCATACTTTGACGGTTTTGTGCATGAAGAAGCCAAGGTTGTTCACCTTGATGAGTTTGATGTTCTTTACTCTCGTTGATCCCGCAATGCCGTCAAGCTAGTGACGTTAAAAGAGCGCTTCCGGATGGCAACCTGAGTTTCCCAACCCCCTATCTCATAAACTATTATATCCTTTCCATAATTTTTATTATTACTAACCTTTCTCTTAATATCTTTTGTAGGTATTGATGAAGAGGAAGTAAGAAAAACATCCTTGGAAGTAAAGTAGTAGGTATAATAATAATCATAATAATAATGGTGATAATAATAATTTAATTATTATTATTATTATGCCTTATTATATATATATATATATATAAAGTGAATTCCGTACAGCATCAGGTCTGCACAGACGTGCATAACATCGCACGTCCGTGCAAGGCAGGCAGAAAGTTGATTTTTGAATTTTGAGGTTTGGCACAGACGTGTCACTTGAGTCAGAAACATTTTTGCTGTTGTCTGAGACTGCACGTCCGTGCAGCCTCAAAAATCCGTGTATGCAACACGGCTTAAAGCTAAAAAAAATTCACAAATCCCTTTTTCACTCCACGACCCTCCTCCTCTTTCTCTATCTAAACTCCTTTCCTCCTCCTTATTACTCACTCAATTCCCCTCAAACACCCAAAATCACACCAAAATTCAACAAATTTCTCCAACATCTTCACTCCTTTTCATTCTAAATCACAAACTACTACTCCTTTTCCACATTTAAACCCAAAAAAATACCCAATTTCTCAAACCCTAACATAAAAAAAAACAAATTGGGGGTTTTCTTTGTGGGTTGAAATTCAAGAAATTGGTTGAAGGAGTAAGCTCAAGCAAGCACAAGGAAGCTTAGGGAGGTTCATTTGCGGGTTTTACACCCACATCACGTTTGGTATATTTGTTCCTTCCTTTCACTAATTTTATGCTTAAATTCTTGAATTTTTGCATGTAGTTGCTTGGAAAAGTTTGTTTGAATTAGTTGTGAGTTAATGATAGTTGATAATTGTCAAGAATTTCTGAATTTAAAGGGGTTTGGTAAATGTTGTGAGAATTGAAATTTTGTAAGTAAGTTTAGAATTGAGGGATTGATTTTTGTGAATGAAGAACATGCTTGCTTAAGTGAATTGTTGTGTTGATTTGCTTGATAATAGTGCGTGAAAATAGTGTTGAAATTATTATGAATTGCATTATTGAGGTTGTCTTGGTTGTTTGGTGATTTGCTTGCCTTGTTTAGGTGGTGGACTCAGAGCTTGAAATTGTTGTGAATTGCATTGGTGCACTAGTTTGGCCTGATTGAGTTGTGTTTGTTGGCCTTGTTTGAGCTTTGATTTGTGAACTAAGTGGACCTAGTTTCTTTGTGTAGTTGTGTGACGATTATCTTGTCTTGATTTGTTTGATAGCATTGCATAAAGACCGAGTATGTTTAGAAGAAACCGACCTAGAAACACCTATGCTAGGTATCGTAACCCTTCTCATCCTCCCCTCGTTGATCCACCACAAGTGGATACAATGTGAATAATCTTTAATGACCAGACCTTTTTGAATAATTTTATTAGAAATAGTAGGAGCTGAGGAGAATTAGGTCGACTAAATTTTACAATGATGATGTGGCCAACGAATTAGGGGTAAGGGGATGATGTGAGGATGTTGTTTGAGGGCTCCGGCCTAGGGTCTTGGTTAGGATTGCATGCACCGACCTACAAGAGACTAACCCTCGAGTTCCTTTCTACCCTCCAAGTGCAACGAGACACCAACAAAACCCCCCGCCGCATTACCTTCCAACTCATGAATTCCCTACATAACTTGACAATAAGGAGGATAAATCAAGTCTTTGGGTGGCCCACGACCAGAACCATAGGTCCAAGGGATAGCTACCCTCGTAATTACAATGCGGGTGAATTTTGGAGAAAAATCACAAGCCTTTTCGAGTACAACCCTAGGACTGATAAGGCCACGACTATTATCCACCCTGGCTTTAGGCTTTCTCAGCGGACTACGACAAACACGACTTTTGTTAGGGGGGATAGCTCTTGGGTAGTGTCCACAAGGGAGCTTTACTTCCTTTGGCACTTGAGTGAGGGCATCACAACCTTGGATGTAGGGTTTTGGCTAGTTGACCACCTAGAGGATGTTGCCACAGGGTCCGACAACATCACCACAGGTGGCATGATCACTATTATTGCTGCTGCTCTTAATCTTGATTTTGCAGATGAGGAGGTTTGTCTAGGGCCGACACAGCTTGATATGCAATCGTTGAGGACCGTGAGATGGGTCGTGGACGCAGAAGGGGCACACCCATACTTGTGGTATGCAAGTGGGCGACCTTATGCCTACCATCCTGACTAGAGAAGACATTCATTACCGACGAGAGCAACTAGGTCTTTGAGAGGGACCTCCCATGGCTTCCCGATGAAGAGGAAGAAGGGAAACAACAGCCACAACAGCAAGAATAAGAAGAAGAAGAAGAAGAAGAAGAAGAAGAAGAAGAAGAAGAAGAAGAAGAACAACAACAACAACAACAATTCCAACAACAACAATTCTATTAATAGCAACATGAGAAAAAACAAGGGTACTAAGGTCAAGGTGTGGGTGAGGACAACCCACCCCTTTCATTCGAGCAGCAGATTCAGCTAATGAATACGGATTTCACCCGCATGTCAACCGAATTTGAGACTATGAGAAGGTCTCACGAAGACATGAGGTCCTCCTACGACAATATGAGGACAAGGTTCGACGGTCTTCGGTCGGAATTGGGTGAATTCCGAAACATGTATCGACAGTGGTACCCCGGGGGCTCAAGCTCCCAAGGCGGCCCGAGCCAATGAGTTAGTATTCCTTTTGCCCTCCTCTTGTGCTTATATTGTTTTAACATTGAGGACAATGTTCATGATAGCTTGGGGGAGTCATTGGCTCATGTGTTGGTTTATTTATGTTCTTGTGTTTATAGTGTTGATTTTGCATGTTGTTTGTTCCTTTCCCCTAAAATCCAAATCCCTTAAATCCAAAATTGCTCCCTTTGAAATCCAACACCCTAGATTCAAATCTCTTAACTTGTGAATACTTCTCCTCTCTCTTTATTTAGATGTATAGTTATGCTTTATTTTTATGCTTAGCTTTGTTTAGCTTAACTTTGTAATTATTCTCGCTTTCTAGTAACTAGTAACAAAAAAAAAAAAAAAAAAAAAAAAAAAAAAAAAAAAACAAGGATGAGACTCAAATGACAATGCTTATATGTTTTGCTTGCTAGACTCTTGAATGATGAGTAAAAGTTATTTTAGAAGGGTGTGTGCAAGAGTTGGGGTCATTTAGAGGTCCATTAATCTTGATTGCATTAGAGTATATGAAATGAAATGAAAACCGATGAATGCTCAATTGCACATCTAGCATAGGATATTGTCAAATTTGCCCAAAGTAGGATATAATTTTGCGATCACTTATGCCCTTGGTGTGCCCCCTTTCCTTCCCGAAATGAACCTCTATTAGGGAATTGGTTCTATTTGTATCTTATGTAATAAGTGGCATGATAAGCCACATGTTTCGAATAAAAGCAAAAGCCACTCGCAGTTAAAAGAGACGAGGGTAATATATGTTAAAAAAAAAAGAAAAAAAAACAAATATAGAAAAAAGAAAAAGGGAACAAAAACTCCTCTAAAATTCTCAAAATTTTCACTTTTTCTAATCTTGAGGTCAACTTGTGGATGCCTCCCACACATTGTCTATTTTGATATTTTTTTTTGTGTAATTATTGACTTAGAGTGTAGTTAATGGGGCTTGGGAGTGGCATTTTTGGAGGTGGACTTGCATTTTGAGATTTTATAACCGAAAGAAGACTTGTTCAACTTGGAATATTTGGATGTGCTCTAATGAACTAGTAAAGGTCTAAAGAAGTATCCTATTGCAAACTTGCTTAGTTCTCCTCTCTACCCCCAACTCATGTGCACATTTGTATGATTAGTAATTCTTGAAAGTTGCTCATTTGTCTTGCTTGTGATTTATATCCCGATGAGTCGACTTGGGAAATAAAAACATTGGTTTTGGTGTGTTGATTACTTTGATAGTGATGATGTGATTTTTGTGAGTTGTGGGTTAAGCTCAATGGAAACCCTCACGAGATAAAAACTGCTTTTCACTTGTGCTAAAAGTGACTATGGTTATTACCATGTGGATTTGTATTTTTGTGTTTCCTCTTTAATTCATCTCCTTGCTTTGATCATTAGCAAGTAATCTTCCTTCTTGTTTTGACATATTTGTTTTGCTCGAGGACTAGCAAAAGCTTAGCTTGGGGCGATTTGATAACTTGTTATTCAATATGATTTTAGGGCGATTTTGAACCTTGTTTACTTGACAAATTGATGTTTTGGTTCACTTTTACTCTATTATCGTGCATTTTTGTGTGTGTCCTTTGCTTCATGGGTTGTTAATGTTTTTGTTGAGTTCTTAGGTCCAAAGACGACCATTTTGGAGCACATGTGGATGATAGACTGAGGTTAAAAGCCGAGACAAAGGAGCAAAACCAAAGAAAAGGTGAAGAATAGGGCCTAAGAGACCCTGCACGGTCGTGCCACATCCTGCACGTCCGTGCAGGGGTGTTCCAGCAAGCTCTAACTTTCTGCCAGAGCCTGCACGGACGTGCAAGAGTGCATCACGTCCGTGCATGACTCCAAGCACGGCCGTGCTTAAGGTTGCACGTCTGTGCGTCTTTCTCAGGCCAAATCTGAGCTTCTAACTTGCTATGCACGGCCGTGCAATAGGTGACACGTACGAGCTGCTTAAGCTGCACGTCCGTGCCGAGCCTGGCACATCCGTGCTAACCTGCAGACAAGCCCGACTCTTGTTTTCTTCGTCCTTTTTATTTGGGGGGGTCATATAAATACTCCCCTTAGCTCTTTTGTACGGTATCCAAATTTTTAGAGCTTTTTCTTAGTTTGTAATCTTAGAAACACAAATATTCTCAAATCATTAGTTAGATTTTAATTATTAGCTTTGAAATTTCAATCTCAATCATTGTAGAAGACAAGTTCCACCATTGTTATTCAAAGTTGAAGCTTCTAGTAA